CAAGACCTTGAATGTAATCTGTTGAATTTTTCAAGACCTGATCTTATTCCTCTAATGTTTAGTATCTACTCCCTCCGTCCCATAATATAAGAGGGACGGAGGGAGTAGAATGCAAAATGGTAATACTTGAGTCTCTTGATGGAAAATCGATTATGGGCCTCAGTTAATTTAAAAATGTGTTCATCAGTGGAAGTTAGAGAATAATGTGATTCAGTTTTACTGCACTGGTTGTCTTAGTTGTGCTTGGAAACTGAATATTCATTTCATCATTTGTAGAAACATTACCTACATGCAATACTTGCACTTGTATGCATGATTTGAACAACTAATTTAGCTGCTGTGCTCTATACATGGAAATTGAAAAGCGAAACAATCTGGATATGTCGAACCCAACCTGGGCATAATCTGGATCGATAGCTCATGTTTTCGTGTGGCAGAATATTTTAAGTGTTATGGGTACTCTTTTTGACTCTGAATAAGCAATTGGACATTCAGATACAACTCGACATGCTTCATAACCCCGAACACTTATGGTCTCTGTCGTTATGCCGTCCTGTGTACATTTGCACACCTGTGTACATGGTTGTATTTTGTGGGTCTACTTCATAAGTCCATGACAACTATCTTTTTTCCAGGTTGAGCTCAAAGGTATACCACTTTCGGAATAAGCGACTCTTCAGCAGGCAAGTTTAATAAAAAGAAAATTAGTGCACAGAGTTAACTACCTTTTGAGCAGTTTTTTTGCATGTGCTGCTGCTGGCGGCTATGAAAAGAGCTGAGATGCTACTAGGTAGGGCGGGACAAATACTCAGCATTACTCTCCTGTTCCGTAGGTGACAGGCAAGCAGCATCACTGCATCAGTACTTCTTCAGGTATTGTATCATCATCCCACCAAGTTTTGCAAAGGTAGTCATTATATCAATCGGGCAAGCTGATCGTAGCCAGGCTCACTTAGAAGACAGTAGGGTAACAAAAGGGGTACTTAATTACTGGTACGTTAAAGCCTTAAAGGTAGTAGTGTATATGGTACTACAGGAGCTCAATTAATTGTCTTACAAGTTAAGTGCTCCATCTCTCAAACCTCCATTCATTCATCTCCGTTGGATCATCACACCGAGTTGTAGTATTTGCATACCTAGCTAGTTTTTCTTACTTGCTTTGTACAGCCAGATCCAGCTCACTGGCACCGTGCTTCACTATGCCCTGTTTTATTTCTGACAAGTGCATATATTTATCTCCCGCGCGTCGTTTGAGCAGAACTGCATGTGGATGGATCAACCACCGACGTGCATACAAGCTAAGCTAAATAATCCAACCTGACAGCCCACGCTATGTACTTTAGTTAATTAGCTGTGTCCAACGTTGCTGTCTGCTAACGTTCGAGTGTACTAGGGTATGTATGACGAGATGTGTGCTTTTTTTTTTCTGGCACACTGTCTCGATCTGGTCCTTTGCAGCTACGAGGCCTAAAAGAAAGATGCTCCTTGAGAAAGATACTTGAAATACGAGCACACAGAGTAAATTATTTGGCTAGCTAGCATACAATTTTGCGCAGATCTAGAGAAAGTTTGCATGTGCTAGCTGAAAATAGGTCCGTAAACATGACCTAGAGGTCATGATACAACTACCAGTTGTCAAGACTCCCAAAGACCAAAGGTTATAGCGGATGAAAACGTGAGCAAGCTTTTATGATGTGCCACATAACATGTTCGTAACCATGACCAGGGGAGGGTCATGAGTCGGATAAACCCATAAAACTTTGGGCTATATGACTCACATAATGAACAACCAAAAATGAAAAAACGTGTACCAAGCTTGTCCTGAACTAATAGAAATTGTCCAATATGCATGCTTTTGCCTTGAAATTGTCCTGCAAAAAATTGCTTGGACCCTGAACCAAAGATAAATGATTGTGGAGAGATCAGCCCAAATGCCAAAAAAGAAACCGCAAACTGCATTTTTGACATGCATATTGTTGTTCACAAATTGCAGTATCTCGTTCAGTTTATTGCTCCGTAGAATCTTTTCTCTTTTTGAAAGGCAGAAAGGAAAGGCTAGGGTCTCCTTAAATTTGCTCTGGCTTGAAACATAAACCATGTGCACACTGTTCTCTTACATGCAGGTACCTTAATGCTATGCGCCTTTTCTTTTCCTGGCTAAGTTTGAGATCCAGTAGCTAATGTCACTTTTCTGTTTCCAGGCCAATAATCTATGCGGAATATTTTGTCAAGACCTCCCACAGTTCAATATTCGACTTCGAACTCCGTCTGTGTAGCATGCTCATGCATTTGATGCTCTTGAATTTGTAGTGTAAGTTGTTGATTTTGAACTCTTGTATATGTGAATTTTGGTTCTCATGAATCTTGTATATGAGTTGGGCTACGTTTATACTGCATCGGTTTGCTCGTTCAGTTCAGCCGTTTGCTCGTTTGGTTATATAAACCATAAGTAAAGTACTCCATCCTGCACTTTGCTAGCTCTCCTTTTGTTGCAAACTGCATGTGGTGGGCACAATTAGCTATGTGGATGCAAAGTTAAACCAATGGCTAAACAGATCAAACAAGATGGATCAGTTACCTGACAGTAGTCCATGTTAGCTGCGAGTTTTTTTGGGGGCATGTGAATGTCAGCAAAGTCTAGAGAAAGTCTGCATGTGGTAGCCAAAAATAGGTCTGTAAACATTACCACAAAGCCAATTAAATATCGAGAAAGCTATTCTCCTGCCGACTGACAGTTAGCGACAGTCTGAACGCTCTTGTCTGCCTTTTTTTTTCCTTCAGCGCTAAAAAAAATATAAGTGCTACATGTAGGATTCGAACCTAGCACCTGTTGTGTTTATACACATCATCCTTACCATTACAAAAACTAGTACTGGTTGTTCTCTATGAAAAGATAACGAGGTATTTGTACCTTTTTACCACTATATGAGAAAAGAAATGAAAAAAAATCTTGTTCTTTTTCTTTGGATTTCTCCAATAACTCATGTACAATCATCATGATATCTAGTTTCATGAGTCTCAAGTTGATAACACCCTATTAATTTTCGTGCGGGGGTGGGGGTGAGGGGGGAGTTGATGAAACATCCACTCGGTAATTTTTTGTGTGAACAGCATGGGAACTCACACATCATAGACCTGATAACTCGCATATCACAGATCTGATAACTTATATAACTTAGTCCTGATAACTTTGGCGTAGGGGTGGGTGTTGATGAAACATCACCCGGGAACTTTTGGTGTGAATAGTATGATAACTCATACATCGGAGACCTGATAACTTATGCAACCCGGTCTTGATAACTTTTGGCCAATAGAGGTGATGAAATATACTCCGATAACTTTTATGTGAATATATGTATGTCATTTACAACCCCGGCGTATTGAGGCCGCTTGAAGGCCCCGCTCACCCGAAGTGATTTATAAAAAATCTTCTTTCTATCACGGTAACTCGCACATCGCTGACCTTATAACTTATGTGCATAGGTCTTGGTAAATTTGGCGACCGGGTGGAGGGAGGCACGTTGATTAAATACCCCTTGGTTATTTTTTATGCGAATAGCTTGATAACTCACATATCGCAGGCCTGATAATTTTGGGAGAAAAAGATGTTGGAAACAAATCTTGATGCTAGTAGTTTCCATATTGGAGTTTCGACCTTGTAGTTTTATAGCCTAAAAAATCATGATAAAACTGATAATTGAACTCAAGACTTCAATATTGAGATCTTAACACACTAGCCAACTCACCCACTACTTGGCTCCTGACAAGTTCAAATAAAATACCACTTTTTTTACCATCCGAGGTGAACAAATTGTTAAAATATACCCCCAATAGCTTTCTGTGTAAATAAGATGATAACTTACGTACAATTAACCTGATAACTTACATATAAACGCATTGATAAATTTTCACCTTGGGCGAAAAGTTCTAGAAATATGCCCTGATAACCTAGTGCAAATAGCATGGTAATTTACGCACCAGACAAGCGGAAACTTACATACAACACATTTGGTAACTCTTTACCCATGTGAAAAACGTTACTGAAACATGTCCCGGTAATTTTTTGTTGTCGAAACATGCCCCAGTGTGAAGTTACCACTACCCCATTCTAAAGTTATCGTTCTTCTCATCGTATAGTCATTAACCTTCTCATATTATAGTTATCAGGCTTATCATAGTATAGTAATCATGTTGCTCAAGTCATAGTTATCACGCTGGTCATGCCAAAGTTACCAAGCAAAAACAATTATTATCGCTGATATGACAGAAAAAAGAAAGGTTAAAATAACCTTGTTTATATTTGATAGACAACAACTAAGGGTGGCTTAGTTGGTTATTGGGCTCAAACTCTAATGAATAGACTTGGGTTCAAGTCCCCTTTCCAGCATGTTTATTGGGAAGCTGGGTTACTGATCGTTAGCACAGTCCATTAAATATATCTGTAAACCTGGCAGTAGCCCACGCTATGTAAATTGTTAATTACCTCCGTCCAATGCAGCTGTCTGGTACTTTTATTACTCCGTTCAATGGCTTTCACAGTCTCACTCCTCACTCGCTCCCGTCCACTTCCACCTAGCTGTGCCGCATCCTGTTGCCTTAGTCGCCGGAGAGCATCTGTCTGCCAGTACGCCAAGCTACTCTGCGTCCGACTGCTACTGTAGCTGCTGCGTCATGGAGGCGACGCGCCGGTGGAGGATCTGAGCGGCTGCTCTTGGAGGCAACTCGCCGGAGGAGCTCAAATTCTCCTCCCGGCGGCAGCGCGTCAGAGGAGGAGCTGAGCTAGTGATCCCAGAGGCAACGCGCCGGAGGAGGATCTAAGCTTCTGCTCCTCTAGGTTGCCGCTGTCACGCTGACCCCCAGGTCATCTCCACCGTCTGTGTTGTCCATCCATCTCAGAGGTTGGTTAGGCAGTTCAAGTGTGATTTGTCTCTCTTTAGCTAGCTAAGCTTCCTGCTTGAATTGGCATTATCTTGTTATTGTAGAAAAATTAGCCGGCAACAATGGCGATGGTGCTGGATGCATTTGCGTCCTACCTGGTGGACATGCTCACGCAGGTAGCAACTGATGAGGTGAAGACGATGTTGGGCGTCTCCGGCGAGATCGACAAGATGGGAGACAAGCTTTGCGACCTCAAGAACTTCATGGCCGATGCTGATAGGAGGAACATCACCGACAAGACTGTTCGAGAGTGGGTGGGCCAGCTCAAGCGTGCCATGTATGAAGCTACTGACATCCTTGACCTCTGCTAGCTCAAGGCCATGGAGCGTGGACCATCCTCGGTAAACGCAGGGTGTTTCAATCCCTTGCTCTTCTGCATGAGGAACCCCTTCCATGCTCGTGAGATCGGCACCCGGATCAAGGCGCTCAATCAGAGGCTTGACGACATCAAGGAACGCAGCGCTGCTTTCAAATTCATCGATCTCGGGTCCTATGAGGATCATCGCAACAACACCCATGCCTGTCACCATGGTAATCCAAGTCGGGAGACGGTAGGGGACTTTGACCGGTCTGCTATTGTTGGAGACAAGATTGAAGAAGACACAAGAGCATTGGTGGCCCAGATCATGCAGACGGGAAAGGATGTCAACAATGGCATCAAGGTGGTTGCTATCGTAGGTGTTGGTGGGATCGGCAAGACCACCCTCGCCCAGAAGGTCTTCAATGACGAGGCAATCCAAGGTGAATTCCGCAAAAAGATATGGTTGAGCGTCAACCAAAACTTCAGTGATGTCGATCTGCTGAGAAGGGCCATCACTGAAGCCGGAGGAGATGCCCAACCACCTCAAAGTGCAAAGACCAGCCTTCATGAAACCCTCAAGAACACATTGATTGACCACAAGACCTTTCTGGTACTAGATGATGTATGGAACCATAGAGCATGGGATGATGTGTTGAAAATACCCTTAGTCAATGCTGCTGCTTCAGGCAGCCGAGTCCTCATCACTACGCGAGATGAAGGTGTTGCCCGAGGGGTGAAAGCTATCTGGCCGTACCACCATGTCGACATATTAGGGCCTGAAGATGCTTGGTCATTGCTCAAGAAGCAGGTATGTTCTTAATTAAATACTAATCTTTCAGTGAAGTGAATAATCTATCTCCATCTACGTATTAACAGTACTATGTATGCAATTAAGAGAAATGTTCGGATGCTCCCAAGCTAATGATATTAATTACGTGTAATTCAGTTACTATTATGTACTATTACCTCTTGGAGGTAAGAGGTTGTCAGTAAATTTGTAAGGCTAAGATTACTTTGCAAGTGCCAACAAAGCATGGTGCCAAACAAGGAAATATGCAACAACACTAATTGAGACACATTCAAAGACACCTAGATTTTGTTTATTCAAGCTTGAGAAATAATTAGAACTTTGGATAATTATATATCATTTCGACAGTGAAGAGATATGGGTCGTATATGCATGTAGTGAGTAACCTTTTGTGAATATCCGGTCTCATTTTCCAACATATGAGATGAAGATCTAAGTGCTCAACAACTCAACAGTGTCATAGGACAAAATATCAATTAAAAGTTATTTTAAGACAGACAAATAACAATTTCGGCAAACCCCTGCCAATACAACAAAATAATGTAAGACGAAAATTACTAGACTAGAAGTTGGCAGTAATTTTGCTAGGGAAATAAACACAAAATTAGTACTTAATTAATTATTGTTTGGCTGTATTATGCATTATAGACGCTCAAGAGATAAGATAATTTCATGTTACCATAAAATATGAAAATGAATAAAACAATGTACAATTTCTGCTAAATTTGGAGTTACTTCCTATAACAGTGATGAGAAAGTAGTGCTAAAGTATATTCTTCTTGATGTATGTTCCATCTTGTAAAAAGAAAAGGAAAGAAAAATTGTTTCCTAGGCATAAAGTATGTATGTTATATGTGGAAGCCATTGCACAAATCTTCGGTATGTAGGAGCAAGATAAGTAAATAGATTAATTAATAACATTTTGTTTTGGCATGTAGTTTCTGTACTTTGAGTATTTACATAGTCAATCATACCTTGATAAAAAACCGAGTGCCTTAGAGAATCTTGGTACATATATTAGTTCGCAAGTATGTTAATTAACTGTATCGGTTGCTTGTATTCTATGTTCGCAGGTATGCTCAAGTGAGATAGATGAAGACCACATCAATACGCTAAAGGATATCGGACTGAAAATTATACAGAAATGTGGTTGTTTACCAATTGCTGTTAAAGTGATGGGAGGACTCTTGCGTGAAAGAGGGGGGCTACGTGGTGACTGGCAGCGGGTTTTGGATGATTCTAAATGGCCAACAACTAAAATGCCCGATGATCTCAATCACACAGTATACTTAAGCTATGAATATATGCCTTCTTACATGAAGCAGTGCTTTTTATACTATTCTTTTCTTCCTAAAAGTAGGATTTTTCATATGGATCAAGTCGTGGCAATGTGGATAAGCGAAGGATTTATTCATGGAAACTCTAGTGATTTAGAAGAATTGGGAAGAAATTACTACAAGGAATTAGTATCTAGGAACCTTATAGAGCCAGATAAATCGTATGTGGGTATATGGGTTTGTAGCATGCATGATGTTGTTCGCTCATTTGCTCGGTATATTACTAAAGATGAAGCACTCGTAGCTCAAGACGGAGATGATGATATTCTTGCTAAACTTGGTTCACAAAAGTTTCTTCGGTTGTCCATAGAAACTAACCAATCAAAATCAGGTGAACTTAATTGGAAATCTCTACAAGCACATCAATCAGTGAGAACATTGATCTCAACTATCCAGATTAAGATGAAGCCTGGTGATTCATTGGTTACTTTTTCTGGTTTGCGGACTCTGCACATAGAATCTGCAGATATGGCTGTATTGCTTGAATCGTTGTATCAACTAAAGCACCTGAGGTATCTAAAACTAGTAAATGCTGATATGTCTGTACTTCGAGTGAACATTGGCAAGATGAAACTATTGCAATTCCTTGAACTTGGTGGATGTATAAAATTACTGAATCTTCCTGATAGCATTGTGAAGTTTGGCCAGCTGAGGTCACTTTTACTTCCCAGAATAAGTATGGTACCTAGAGGGTTTAGTGGTCTGACAAATATGAGGAGACTATCTTTGTTTCCAGCCCACATGGATGGTGATTGGTGCAGTTTGGATGAGTTGGGGCCTCTTTCACAGCTCAGGTATCTTCACTTAGTTCAATTGGAAAATGTATCTGCTGCCTCGTTTGCTTCTAATGCCAGGCTCAGCGAGAAGGTGCATTTTAGTTGGCTAATCCTTTACTGCACCAATAAACTGGGAGATGATGGGTTGGTCAAAGAGAATGAAAGTGTCTCTGAGGAAGAGCAACAACTAATTGAGAAGGTTTTCGATAAGCTCTACCCTCCACCTGGTGTAGAATATCTTGAAATCAAGTGGTATTTTGGCCGGCAACTCCCGAGCTGGATGATGTCCACATCAATAGTGTCCCTCAACAACTTGACGACTATAATATTTTCTGATCTGGCTTGTTGCACACAACTTCCCAATGGGTTGTGCCAGCTCCTGAATCTGCAGTTTCTACAGGTCCGTCGTGCTCCATGCATCAAACATGTAGGGACTGGATTCTTGCAGGCGGTAGCAGCTTCATTTCCAAGGTTAAACAAATTGAAATTGTACGACATGGTGGAATGGGAGGAGTGGGAGTGGGAGGAGCAAGTACAAGCCATGCGCTGTTTGGAGATGCTTGAGCTCCGTAAATGCAGACTGAGGCATGTTCCTCCAGGCCTTGCCTCCAATGCAAGCTCTTTGAAAATATTAATTCTACGAGATGTCAAGCACCTCAACTACATTGAGAGCTTTCCTTCTGTTGTTGAGCTTACAGTGGATGGATGCCCTGACCTGGAGAGGATCACCAATATCCCCAATCTGCAGAAGCTTACCATTGAGAACTGCCCAAAGTTGAAGGTGCTGGAGCATATCGCTTCACTCGAGAGGCTGGTCCTGAAGGATTACACCATGGAAAAACTCCCAGAATACATACAAGACATAAAGCCAAGGCATTTGCAGTTATTCTGCAGGCTATGGTTGCTCTCTGCGATAGCCATGGGACAATCTGGCATTGAGTGGGATAAGTTCAGCCATGTGGAGCATGTCAAGGCATATGCAGATGATGGAGATAACCAAAGGAAATGGCACGTTTTGTACACGAGAGGGGACAACTGCAAGTTGGATTCAAATATTAGCCACTCTACTGTGTTTGAAGGTAAAATTATACATACAAACTTTGCCTTCATTTGTTTGGTTACATTGACTGTTCTTTTTTATAAGTTCATTTCATTTTATCCATATATATGTGCTGCATGATGACTGAATATATCATGTATAGGACATGCAACTAATTAAGTTTTAGCCACACAGCTGTACATGTGGATTCTTCAATTTATGTTAATTTTGTTATGTGGCTATCATTTTCTGATTTGGTTGAGTCTGACAGGGCAGAACTGCACCCCGGGCAGTACTCCAATTTATAACCGAGTAGTATTAGCTGTAGTACACTAAGTCAGATAGCTAGTAGAGTACTCCAACTAATAACTGAGTAGTATTAGCTGTAGTACACCAAGTCGGATACTAGCTACTACTAATAGTATGCAAGCGCATTAGTATTAGCTGTATCCCTCACCAAGAATTTGATCGATCCGCCAATCACTAGTATGCAAGCGCATCAGTTTGCAACTTTGCATTGGCACGGGAAAACTTAGTATACTTGATGCTCTGATCACGGGATTAATTGATTTTCTCCAATCTGAGTACATGGAAATAGAAGATGAAATGGATAATGGGGTTGACTGCATTTTCATACAGGCTCATGTCAT